GTCAGAGGGAGAAGCAGACTCCCCGCAGAGCAGGGAGCCCGATGCGGGGCTCGACCCCAGGACCCTGGGATCATGACCTGAGCCGAAGGCAGACGCTTAACCAACTGAACCCCCAGGCGTCCAAGGCCAAGAAGTCCTTAGGTGTGGTCCAGAAATCACTCAAGGGTTATGATATTTTTCATTGGGCAAATATTTGTTGGGCATATACTGAGTACCAGGCACCTGGATGACAGTGGACAAAGCAGATACTTGCTCTTAAAGAGTGTGTGGTACTGAAGGAGACTCACGTGAACCCAGCAATTATAGGTATAGTGAGTATTAGCCAAAGGAAAGTGTAAGGGAAAATATAGCAGGAGGATTTAACCTCACCTAGGAAGTCAAGGAAAACTTACCTGGAAAGTCACATTTCAGCTCAGATTCAAAGGGTGATAGATAACAGACGAGGAGCAGAAGGGTTAGCGGTGTTTCAGGGAGAGGGAATTCCATGCACAAGTCAAAGTCCAGAGAATGGAGAATCTGGAAGAATGGTGTGAAGTATGAGGCTTAGATAAAACTGCTGCAAGGGACAGAAAAGTCAGTGCATCGGTAGTTTAAACAGTAGACAAGTTTCTGGGCGCCTGGGTGGCTCAGTTGGTGAAGCGTCTGCCTTCGGCTCGGGTCGTGATCCCTGGGTCCTGGGATTGAGTCCCACATCAGGCTCCCCCTGCTCTGCGGGGAGCCTGCTTCTCCCTCTCCCTCTGCCTGCCACTCCCCCTGCTTGTGCTCTCTTTCTGTCAAATAAATTAATAAATAAAATCTTTAAAAAAAAAATAGTAAACAAGCTTCTTATGAAAAAGTCCAGGTGGGTAGTCCAGGTTTGACATGGCAGTTTCAGTCATCAGGGACCTGGCCCCATCCATCTTGTGCTGTCATCCTCCACAGGCACCTTCTACCTAGTGACCCAAATGATTCCTTCAGCTGTCACTTTGTGCATTACAACTGCAGGAAAGGGAAATGGAAGGAGAGGGCCACACCTCCTTTCTTAAGGGCAGGGCTCACCTCCCATTGGCTCAAGCCCAGTGACATGGCCACACTGAGCTGCAAGGGAGGCTGGGAAAGATTTCTATTCAATGGCCATGTATTTAGCTGAAAAATAAGGATGTGATTACTGAGAAAGAGGAGGACAGGTACCAGGTTGCAATAACTAGTGTAACACACATGGCTAGATCCTTGAATGCAGAAGGAGAAGAGCAAGGCTAGAGCAGTAGGCAGGAATCAGGTCATGGGGAGTCCTTTGCAGCCTCTGCTATATAGGAGTTTGGAAACTGGAGCAAGGTACATGATGCTGTGGCTGCCTTCTGGGGAGCCGGTTGTAGAGGGGCTAGAGTGGGTCCAAGCAGATCAGTTAGGAAGCTATTACGACAGTTCAGGTAAGAAACTAAGTGGCTTGGGGCTGGGGTGATGGCAGCTAAAATGGCATGAACAATTTTGAGAGCTATTTAGGAAGTAGAATAAGCCCCCTTGAGACTTACGTGTGAGCAGAGGATTAGAAGGGGAAAGGAATTAAGGATGACTCCACCAACATTACTGTCTTAAGCAACTGGAAAGGTGACAGGGCTGTTTATTGAGAACAGAAACTTCTCAGGAAGGGAAGACCTGGAGACAGAAGATGAGTTTGGTTTGGCCATGCTGAGCTTAATGTGTCCATGGGGCAGCTAAGTGGAGGTCTCTCTCAGACTGGGAGTCCTAGGAGAGAAGACTGCTTGAAATACAGTCATCTGTTTGTTCATTGGGTTTTCATGAGAAAATAGCCACATTGTT